CAATGGGAAATCGTGATGGGTGGCCACGTGGAAGAACTGGTCCTTGACATCTTCAGGGATATAGTAGTCCTCCAAGATCTCCAGCCTCAACTGTTTCATATAAACAATACAACACTGTAAACTGCATGCAAATCCCTGCCAGGCTGCATCACAGGGTTTCTGTCGATGGTAGGGACTACTTCTTCATCGTGCTCCTCTGCTTCCTCCTCTTCCGCCTCCTGGTCGATTTGCTCCTGCTCAGCCTTGTAGGGCTCCGACTTCTCAGGAAGACTCGGATTCCACGCTGTGAGGTCCGCCAGCGCACCGGCAGGTGCCAGTGGAACACTGTGCTCAAGTGTTGACATGAATTGAAGTTCCACAAGTTTTGGCTGCAGCCTCTCCCACACAGCATTCGCCAAACTCGACACCATGTTCTCAATTGAAGATCGAGCTGAACTGTTGCTCGGCAGTGCAGCACCACCACCTAGGAATGTCTGAAAGCATTCCCCAACAGCCATCTCACATGCCGTCATCATCGGAAGTGTTGGGTTTGCTGGCGCCGGCGGAGGAAAGGCAGGTTGAACTGGATGTGTTGCTGCCAGACGTGCATCCCTTGGATGTAACGGACGAGACTTGGGCGGATCTTTCGGTTCCGGCACACCCTCTGGAGAATCAACCTCAACCACTGACACTGGCGGCTTTGGCGGCTTTGCAGCCGGCTTTTTCGGCTTTGCAGGCATGCTTTTCGTAAGAGGTGCTGGCTTTGTTTTTGCCGTTGCCCCTACTTCTGCTGATGCCATTTTTTTGCTGGCGGTCTTGCTTTTGGTGGTGCTCCTGCTTTTGGTCCTGCCCCTGGCTCGTCTGTTGATGCTGTTGCGCTGGCTTTTGTTTTTTTTGCTGGTGATGCTTTTGGATCATTGGTCCACTCTGGAGCGGGCACTGGTGGCCTGGCAAAAGCCGGAGTAGCAGAACTGGAGGATGCAGGATCACCACCCCCTCTTGTGGCGTCATCGACATCTGTCTCCGGGATCTCAAGCGGAGCAGTTCGTGCTCTTTTGGCATCTGGCAGCACCTCAAATGCTTTGCATTGAAGACGACACACACACACACACTCAATTGAGGATGTCAATTGTGACTGAAATGTTATTATTTATTCTTGAAGCTGAAGCGAAAATGTAGTGTTGCTCCCAGCTGCTGCTGCTGCAGCAGTTCCTCTTGACTTCGTCTTCTGATTTCGCTTCTGAAGCTTCTGAAATGTCCTGGCAGGTAGGTCCACGGGATGTTCCTGCTTGTCCTTGACCATTCTTGTTTTCAAGTTCCTGAGTCAAAGTGGTACGTGTTGGCACTACAGGGCAGACTGCAAATCAAATCAATGCGGAATTCGAGTCCAGGCACATCTGAATGGAAGCCCAATCAGTCTGATTTGCAAATTGGTCGGTCCATGTGTTCCAAGCATTTTGCAATGCTGCCTTCCATTGATCCGACGACCAACCAATGGACGGCAGGAGATGCTTCTGCTTCCTGATGCACACTTTGGCAGAACCATGGATTGCATTTAAATATTTACATATTACAACCTCAAAACAACATTCGAAAATCTGAAGCTGCTCAGCGACACGTGATGGCCATTGGCGAAGTCGATAATGTGCTGTTGATCGGCAGCGATGGCACTGTGATCTTTGTTTCTGTGCTTCTGGACTAAAGTGTCGAACCATGCGACGCATTCGATGCCACAGACCTGCACTGACAGCTGATACTTACAAAAACTAGACAATTGAGTGTCACCTGGACCAATGAGTCAGTTCAGCACAGCGACTTGGAAGAGAGCCATGACCAACGCAATCATGGCACACGTCCTGTGCCATCCCGCCGAACAGCAGATCCTGACAATTGAAGGACCACATAGGAGGGTTATAATTATCCTAGTCCCTGAACCTAAAAAAAACCTCCAAGACCTTCAGCATTCAAAGACTCGAGAAGCCTGAGCAACTTGTCGGGAAAATTGAGGATGAAGTGGAGCGTCTTGAGCGCTGCGGGATGACTATACACCTCGGTCATTAGGGTGAATTCTTATTAAAATTAAAATTAATTATTATACAACTCGATTCATGAAGCAACACCTGTTCGACCAGGCACCTGTTCCATGATATGCTGGTATAGGCCACATTCTCTGCCAAACCTTCCTCCTTCGGCCTCCCTTGGCTTCCATCCATGACTGTCACTGTCACTGCCCTCAATTGTCAATTGAGTGAAACTGAAATGAATGAAAAATGTACAAATGTCATGAAGCTTCGACACGTGCATTGACTGCTGCAAGCGAACCTCCCATTTGTTAGAAAAGTTACATTCCCTGTCCAACCTCTCCAACAAGTCTGCCATCTGAGGTGATGGACGATTTCCATGGTGGGCAACCCCATAACCAACGATCACCACTCTCTTCGGCCAAACGTAGGTTTTGCCGCCCAGGAAAACTGACCTCGAAGTGTTGGAGCAGAAAGCAGCTGCCGAAGAGCTCGGGTTGTCAATAGAGCTCACATCGTCATCAGTAGCATCAATAGCCGGTTCGTGGTCTCTTGTTTCTCTCGGGGTCCTTCCACTTGCGTCCCCAATCGTCCGAGTCGTCTTCTTCTTTGCCCCGCCCCAAGTCACCGGAACTTTTCGTTGAGGCGTCTGCTTTCTTGCTGCCGTAGTTCCCGACATCGAATTGGCTGTATACTATCCCCAAGCTTTGATTGTGCCTCGAATGAACACGGAATTGTAATGATGAAAGCTTAAGCGCCAAAAAAAAGGGCTGCATCAATCTTTGCCAAAGTGCTCTCTAACGTTCTTGTTACAGGCTGACAGAATCCAGGCTTCTGGTTTCTGGATGCCGTCTCTTCCCCGTTTGAAAGATCTCCTCAAATGTTGTTGCATTGAAACAATGACATGTCAGGTAGCAAATTATTCTCAATTGGAAATTGTCTGAAATGTACTGCAGGTGTCACAAGATCACCAGCCTTTCTCGGGCAGAGCAAATAGAGCAAGTAGATTGCTTGCTGTGCTTTCCGGAGATCCTGGCCCTGCTCCTCGAGACACAATTCCTCAGGGAGATGCTGGAGGGCCACACTCGACATAGCACAACTTGAGCCAGAACTGCAGCATTAGGTTACAAGGGGCTCACAATCAATCACCAAGCAAGCTGACACACACACACACACACACACACACTCACTGAGCCTTCCGCGCAAATATCACTCACATGCCTTCTGAAACGACTTCACCTGGCAAAATGCAAATTTCATGCCAGCCCTGCCCCCCCCCCGGCTCTGTCAAAACATGCCAGGCAGACCTTGCCATTGATGCTACCACAATAGTTATACTACCGCAAATCATGCTACCACAATTAGCGCTACCACAATTGTTGCTACCACAATTGACAAATTGATGCTACCAGAACTGATGCTACCAGAATTGATGCCACTGCAAAATCGAATCAACCAAGCCAAGCAATGCCATGCTGACTACCACAGTTGCTGCTACCAGAACTGATGGTATCAGAATTGATGCCACCGCAAAATCGAATCAGATGCCACCGCAACAATCGAAGCAATCAAGCCATGCAATGCCATGCTGACTACCACCATTGACATTGATTGATGCTACCAGAATTGATGCCACTGCAGCATCGAATCAACCAAGCCAAGCAATGCCATGCTGACTACCACAATTGATTGATGCTACCAGAATTGATGCCACTGCAGAATCGAATCAACCAAGCCAAGCAATGCCATGCCGACACAGTAACGGCCTCCCCAGCGTCTTTGCAAACACGAGTGTGCTCTGACAGTCATGCGGACTGGAGACTTCTTTAAATGCCACCCCCATTCGGCCAAGATGGGGTCACCCTGCTGAGTATGCGCCGGCAAATCAGGGCCTTGGACGTCGTGCTTGCCTTCTTTGCCCTATGCGGAGCGCTGAAATCCAATTGCCTTGCATACCGGCCCGCAAGAGGACAGGTCATGCTCGTCATCGAGTGCACCGGAATCGCTGCGCGACGCGCCGGTTACTGAAGACCTGTCAATGAGGCACAGCATAAGATGCCATGCGGGGCCATGCCGGCAAGCAGCAGTGATCGAAGTTAATATTTCGACCGTGGTGTGGGTACGTGGCATAGTATTTATTAATAGTAGCGAGGCCTTCCCTGCAATCTGTGTGCATTTCACCCCGCGGCGGACACACCACCTGGCTGGACAGGCGAGCAGCACACAGAGTAAATCCCCAGCGCCCGGCCAGCGACGCTGTCCCGCACGGATCAAGGACCCATTGCTCACGTGGTCCGAGCCCGACTGGAGCGGTCTCTAAGACCACTCTGAGCTTGGGCGTGCAGGATGGGTAGGGCGAGTCAAGCAAGCCAAGCAAGCCAAGCAAGCCAAGCAAGCCAAGCAAGCCAACCAAGCAACCAAGCCAACCAAGCAGTGGCACGTGACAAAGGACCACGTTTCAGCTTCCAACACATCCGGCTTGGACAGAAGCGAACACCATCGCTCAATACATCCGGCTTGGACAAATGCAAAAATGTTTGGCAAAAAAGGGTTTCCTCACGCTGGCTTCCCAGTGTGCTTTAAAATGTTTTGGTCAACGGCCGTGCCCCCGGCACTGAAATTCCTAATAAAATACATAAATAAGCTAATACTACAACAGCTTGAAACCTTAAATCGGTATATTGAACTGCACTATTGAGGAAATAGGTTTTGGCCTTCAAACCCCCCTGATCCAGCCCCCAAGGATCCAACCCTCAAAACGAGTGTGTGGACATGACCACCCAGGATGAGCCCGTGACCTTAGATTGGTGGGAGGCGATACGAGATAAGCGTCAATTGCGGCGAGGTAGACACAACCAGAGCCGTGCAGATCCCGAACCTGAGCCCTCCGAGGGGCTCACCACACGCTTCGGGATCACCAGAGCGGGGAGAGACCGTTGGCATAATGCAAATGGTTCCCTCATCAACCGAGGACGCAATGCCACCTCCTCCGAAGCAACTATGACCGGCCACAACGACGACCCTCTGAACTCAGGCACACCAAACAGTGGAGAAGCAACGGCGGGTACTACAATGGACGTTGACGAACATGAGCCCGCCTTTCACATCACTGGAACTGGGATGCACGATGGGAGGGAAGTGGTTAACGCGGTGACCTACTACGGCGAGAAATTCAAAGTACGTGCAGACGCCACCAGTGAGGACAACATGACCTCCACCACCGTGGGCGATGCAGACACTGAAGACATGGACACAAACCACAGCCAGATGAACGAGTCAGCAGCAAGCTCGTCCTCGGACTCACAGGTGGGGAGAGAGACTGAGGTCGGATTCTTCCGACATGGCCAATGGCATGCTAGAGCCCGCACACCTGAAGAGCAACGCCAACATGTTGGAGGAAAAGGACCCGCCCGCCAGCGCAAACGTCAGGAGCGACTCAACAGCTACTTCCATGGAAAATGGAAGCCGGCCTGGCTGCTAGGATACATTCGGGACCGTGAACTTCGGAGTCAAAGGCCCACCCTCCGAGGAAGGGGCGGAACCTGCGGCTTCGTCTACACAGACTCCTGCGAACGGGCCACAGCCTCCCACCACGTCACCAACATGGGCCACTGGAGGGCATCCACATGTACCTGACCAAGAGTGGAGCGATGACACATGGTCTAATGGCGCCACTACCAATACTTCGTGGAGCTGGAGCAGTCAAAGCTGGAATACCTCCTTGCCCGGAAACCAGGCTGCTTGGTGGAGCTCCAGTTCGGACCAAGGATGGGATGCATGGAATTGGGGCGACTCCTCTTCCTCTGCTTCGAGTTCCTCCTCCTCTACCTGGACCTGGAGAAATGGTGCCAACACAGAATGGCATGAAGGATGGCCGACCACTACCTCGTCGAGTACCGCACCAATCCCGGACTATCCGCCCAATCATGGCCTCTTCCCGGAAGTCCGGCCAACCAGACGACCTCTTGGTGTTGAGGGTGACATGGGATTGATGGCAGTCACAAATGGCGAGGTAGCTACCCTACAAGAAGCTGGTGTGTCTAGGACCAACATCGAACGCCTCACGCGGATGCTTGAAGCCTTAGACCTCCAACAAAGAGATGGACGTGGGCCGGAAAGCAGATGGGCACTGGCACAAAGGGCGGAAGAGGGCGCGGAGGCCACGAACGCTATCATCAGAATACTACGTCGTCGACTACGCCCTCGCGGAGTTCTCCCTGTTCAGCGTGTCCCTCGGGTAGAAGTTGAACGCCTCCGCATCTTCAACTGGGTGCGTCAATATGTCACCTTGCTGTTGGAGAACTTGGAGCAACACCTGCGAGTCCCCCTCCAGCCTGGAGAGGACGCTCTACCTGAAGGCGAAGTCTCTTCCCCTGAAGCCTTACCAGAGGAAGCATCCAGCGAAGGTGTGGCCAGTGGGTCAGTGACGAGATCGCGCAGCCGCAGCCGCAACATTTCCCATGGGGGATCAGGAAATGGGTCTGCCAACACCAGCGAGTATGCCTGCGACTCTGAGGGTGAACTTGTCTGGGTCCCGCCGGCTTCGCCTGGCGATGCGCCACGGGGACCTCCACCACCCACACCTGTCAACTTACCAACGTGGGTGACATTGGAACCGGTTGGTATCTGGAGGGAACCGCCAGAGGAGGACGACGCCACTGCGACAAGCACGACCACCACCACCATCGAGGGTGACTTGGACGACGCTTGGTTGCTACAGCTGGCCACCGGAACGACTCCGTCCTCCACAACCACCCCTTCTTCGGTGATGGATGACGTGAACAACGACCCGATGGATCCCTTGGTGCCAGTTGGAACTGATTTGCTAGCTTGCTGCGCCATCCCTGGGATGTCCTGTGAACCATGGTCCTCAACCTCGACTTCAACCACGACGACAACATCTACGTCATCCAGCTCCTCACAGCTTTGGCCCGCGGATGTGATCCGGGACATGGTAAATGTACATCTGGTACAGTCTGACCCTTCCGATGCCATCGCACTCATCCACCGACTGCAAGAACGACAACGACATCTACGTCATGTTGATAACTTGTTGCGGGATGCTGTTCAGGAGGCCCTCCGCTGGATACAAATCCCCATGTCCGCCCTCCCGATGAATGCTGACATGACGGCAAGGAACGTGATGAATGCGATTGCCTATGAAAGTACATTTGGCTCGGGTCCTACCTCGTCGACGTCATCCAATGTGGTGTCAAGCCCTCAAGTCTGGCTACAACCCAATCTGCCGACCTCGGTGGATGACGTGGAGAATTCAGTACCAGGCAGTGCACCGCATGTCATCGCGGGCTATCGCCGAAGAGCCTGGCATAGCCATGTGTTGACAGTTTATGCTGCTGCTGGTCGTGAGCCTCCTGTTGGACCCTGGCCGGCGGAGGAAGATGAGGACCTGTTCATCGTTCAAGCTGACCCGGCGATTGGAGTGGAGAACTGGCCGTCCACTGTGGCCATGCCGAACATGCTCACTTCAGCTAGAGGACCTGCTCGTGGAATTCGTGGTCACAGTGCAAGTGGACGAGATGAGGATGCTCGAGGAAGTGAGGAACCGGATGCTCGAGGACTTCAACGTGACCGTGCACTACGTCGTCGGGGCCGTCTACATCGTCCACCTCCTCGACGTCTTCGGCCTGCTGAAACTCGAGTCCGTGCAGAGTTTGCAAATATGGAGTCGACTCATCGAGCAGTCCTAAGCCGCCGTCGTCGCAATGCCCGTCGTCGCAGTAACCCTAGACGCTTCGATGGGGTGGCTAACATTGGGAGGGATCGCAGCCGCAGCCGAGATGAAGTGTGATTCAACATGCAGTACACGATTCACTGGAGGCAGTACTGAGTGTAGGCCCCGTTGAGGCAGGCGCTTCAGAAAAGGAGTGTCATTGCACTTTAAAAAAAAAAACCCTAAACCCTAAACCCTAAACCCTCCCGGAAGGCTGCCAGAGAACGGCATCATTCGCTCCTCCAAGATCTCATCGGTCGGGAGAAAGATGCTCGGGCCGGGTCCTCGGAGCACTTTAGTAGAATCCCCTAAAGCCTATAGGTCCCTTAAAGGAACCCTATAGATCCCTTTAAGGAACCCTATAGATCCCTTAAAAGAACCCTATAGATCCCTTTAAGGAACCCTATAGATCCCTTAAAGGAACCCTATAGATCCCTTTAAGGAACCCTAAGGTATATTCCTGTTATACGACGGCTATCGGCTATCCTTTAGTATCTTGCGTTAGGACAGTCTCAGAAAATTAGTGGACGTTGATATGAAAATCCTGCGTAGTTTTGTTATAAGCACCCGCAGACAAGATTCCATCGTTTTCTGCAACTACCAAACATGATGTTGTCTTGTACGGTCGCTTGTTTATATCATCATACCCTAAACCCTAAACCCTAAACCCTAAACCGTGATCTTACCTTATATTGCTTTATCATGTGCCAAAGTGTCGTACCTTGGCTTCTAGTTTTTCCCGGGTCAAACTGCTCCCCAGGACAAACATACGGCACATCACCACGAGCTCTTGGGGCGCGAGCGTGCTGCCAACGAGGCCAAAAGGGGGGGGTTTCGATTCTGTACTTCAATATACTATGGTATATACTGTATACTATCATTTACTACAATATACTTTAGTGTAATGTACCATAATATACTATATAATGTCCGAAATCTTCCGACTCTGAAACCTGAAGCCTGAAGCCCCACATCCGCGACATCAACAGGCTTGAAGTTTCTGCAAGACTGTGCGTCAATGTGCAAGAATACGCTGTAATACACCATACTGTACTTTAATATGCTATAGTATACTATGATGTACTATAAGATACTACAACATACTATGATGTACTTTAAGATGCTAGAATTGCATCCCAGGAGCGCCATAAGGACGTCAGCGAAGTCCTGCAGAAAGAGCGCGGCCAGCGCGAGCAGCCAGGGGCTGAAGATCCACTCGGAGCGGTTTTCACTGGAAGATGTATGGATTGGATTCGGGTGAAGGGTTAAGGGTTAAGGGTTTAGGGTTTAGGGTTAGTTCACATTAATTAGGTGAGATTAGACTAGGTGAGATTAGATTAGTTTAGGGGTTAAAGGTTACTTAGGGTTAGTTCACATTAGGTGAGATTAGATTAGGTTTGGGGGTTATAGGTTAAGGGCTTCGGGTTAGTACACATTAGGTGAGATTAGATTGGGTTTGGGTGTTAAGGGTTAACGGTTTAGGGTTAGTTAGGTTGGAGTAGGTAAGATAGCTGAGATAGACTAGATAGGTTAGGAAGACCAGAGTGGGCTAGATAGGTTAGATAAACTAGATAGATAGACAGATAGATACATAGACAGAAAGACAGATCGATGGGCGGATGGACGGATGGACGGACGGACGGACGGACGGACGGATGGATGGATGGATGGATGGATAGCTAGATCGAAAGACAGACAGGTAGACATCACAAGCAAGATAACTACACAGATAGATAGATCCGACAGATAGATCCTAGACGATCTAAGTTGTTGTTTTCAGGTATTTGCTCTAAGTGCTACAAGGATTCTGTAAGGGGTCTAGCAGGTTTTCTTTAAAATGATTCATTTCTGTGGTTTTCAAAGGGCAAGGGGGCGTTCCTTATGAATTTAGCTAATGCCAGCAGGAGCGATGCTGTCCGTATCATCGTAATCCAAAGTAATATAGGGGCCCCATAGGTGCCAACATTATTGCTTAGGGTTTTTTTATACCGCATACATGCACTATAATACACCCCACGAAACCCTATTCAAGGCACAACTCTTTACACAGTTCCAGCTTTGGTATCTGCTTGCGAGTTACACAGATTCGACCATAAATTGAAAGATGGTAATCCCCCTACTAAGCGAGCCTGAGCAGTCATACGCTTACTTATAGCCCTGAATACAATTCCAGTATAATATGCCTCAAAACCTTGTTCGTCGAAATGTTTAGGCACCGATGTTAGGCCTCGCCCCGTGCCCGAGTCATCAAATCCCAGCTGCGTAATCACGAAATCTCACACCTAGAACTAGAAACCGTCCTGCCCAAGGGCGCACAACATGCTGCACGACATGGTGCACAAAGAGAAGGCTGCCCGAACGGCGATCGAGGCCCTCCAATGAAGCATTCAAGTAAACCCTGAAGCCTAAACCGGAAGCAGTTCGAGCCCTAAGTCCTTCCAAAACTAGAGTTCAGGGTTTAGGGTTCAGGGCTCAGGGTTTAGGGATAAGGGCCTTCTCTCAAAAGGGCTCTCTACGGGTTCTACAGGGAGCGGAGCAGCGGAAGAAGGAGCTCAATAGGTAGAGGCCTTCGGGTACAAATGGAGAGAAAAATTCATCTCTCGTTCACAGATCCGAAGGATTCAGACGGCCTCAGCCCAGTTTCAATCGCTCTGAGAAGGTTTAGGGTGTAGGGTTTAGGGGTCGTAACACAGAGATGGAAAGACTAACCTACGAGATGGAGGTGAGGATCATCACGGTGATGAGAAAACTGCTATTTCTATTCTAATCTACTAAGTAAGTAGTATTTTTATAAAGGATTCGATTCGATTTAAACTAGCTTCCTCGGCTCCAGCTTCCGAAGTCCGCACGTAGACCCGGAAAGCCGAGCCCAGAACAGTTTGTGTCATTTGGGTTGTTGTCAAAATTAGGGTCCCTTTTTGGGTCCTTAATATAATACGGCACCTATTATTTAGGGTGCCCAAAAAGGGACCCTAATTTTGAGAACTACCCATTTAATTTGTCTTGATACACCGGCCAAACTCCCGCAGCTTTGGCAAAAGGGCTCATTCTTTAGCTTAAGGGTTTCCGAATTCAGGACATCCCGCATGACAGGAGGTGTTGGTGCAAGAGAAGGGAGAACGAACGAAGCATCTGGCGCACTTGGATGAGAAAGTCCTGTACTCAGCGGCGGCTTTTTCAGTGTCCAGATGCAATCGACCACGGGTCCTAAACGCCCAAACCATGAACTGTCCGCGGAATTGCTAAAACGCACGTGTTGACACACAAACCCATATATTTCAACCCTATAACATGCAAGCCCTTGAACCCTAAACCCTAAACCCTAAACCGAGCGCCAAGGTGGATTCACTTCAGAAGTCCATGGGCATCTTCGATAGCTTGGTGCGGAAGGTCAGGGAGCGAGTGGGTCTGCAGTTGGCAACAGTATCCCCCTGCAGTCACTGTAGTCTCTGTACATTTTTAGTACAGATCACCCAGCACCCTATTCTAAATACTGAGGCTGGGTTAAGTTAATAGTATGACTTGATTGTTCAGCTGTCGAGTTCTTCTCGGGTTCAGGCCTTGCATAGGGCCTAGGGGTCCGGATGCTTCAGTCTTCATACTCATCAGCTGCCCTCAGACCCTCAAACCCCAAACCCGAAACCCAAAGCTCCAAAACCCGAAACCCAAAGCTCCAAAACCCGAAACCCAAAGCTCCAAACCTTAAACACCCCAAAGCCCCTGGCCAGGAGATCGAGGAGAGAACCAAGGAGTACCGGCGCCTTTGGGACGCTATCGACACTCATACGCACGACCTCTCCACTCAGGCCTGCTTGGAGTATCATGGTTTCGGGTTTAGAGTTAGAAAGGAAGGTCATAAATACCTTTTATTGGGGTTATAATTGGTTATAGGTGTATAGTTACCTTATGTATAACCCTAATTACTAAGTCCCATGATCCTCTAAGTTGTCAGGGCGCCAACTCATCGTTTCGAGTCGCGCTTCTCCCCTGAACCCGAGACTTTTCCCTCTCAACAGAAATCTCTAAACCCCCCAAATCGCCAAACCGGAAGTCTTAAGCCACCGGAGCCGCAAACCCTCAAACCCCCAAAGTCCAAACCCTAAGTCTGAAAACCCAAACCCTAAGCCTAAAGCCCCCGAAGCCCTCAACCCAATGTCTTAAGCCCGAATTCCCTCGTGCAGGTTATCAGCGAGGCGGGAGGCTACGTAGCGCCTGAAGTAACTGTGCGCTTCTCGGAGAGACGCCGCAGTTGGAAGCTTTGAGTCTCAACACAGGGAAGTTTAGGGCTTTTGGGTTTAGGGAATTGGGGACGAGAAGGTTTCTACTTGGGTTGGTGTGGAAGGTTTCATAACATAAGGGTTCGATACGGGTTATCACCAGGGTTCCTTCAGGGTTATTTTGAGGGGTTATTTTGAGGGTTCTATAGCGGGTTTAAAAATAGGGCTAAACTCTAAACTGTAAACCCGAAAGCCCTAAACAAAAATCCACCCAGGCCACCGCCCTGGACTCCAACATCTACCCTCGGTACTTGACGACGGCTGCGGCGAGGGAGCCCAGGGAAAAGGAGGTGGAAGCTGGCAGGTGGGTGTCTCATCTAGGGGCCTAAGTAGTTTCCTGTACTAAGTTGGGGGTTCTTTCTTATATATATAGAGTATGATGCCACAAAGCCCTATTCCAACTATTAAGGCCCCCCCATATGAGTCGATATTCCATGAAATCACACATTTGGCTTGTATGACATGGGGGATGATCTTGCTTGGAACAATCACATGTGATATCGTAGTATACATTCGGGTCTGAAGTTCTTGGGTCAGAGGGCCGGGGTTTGCGGGATTTGCGGGTTTAGGGTTTAGGGTTTAGGGTTAGGGCCTGGAGGGCTGAGGTGGTCGGAGTTCCAGCCGAAGTCTCTTTGATTTGGTGTTCGGGTGTTAAGGTAAAAGCCAGAAAGTTGGAATATGATTATCGTAAACCCTTTATGGTAAATTATAGGGTATCCTACCCTGAAACCATATTCCAACTTTCTGGAGTTCCCTTTAAGGCGGCGAAGAACAGATGCCAGAAAGCCTTCATCCCCAGGGCCTGAACCGAAAGTCCCAAACCCTAGAAACGGACGGAAAAAGGTGAAAAAGGTGCTTTAACAACTCACCTAGAAACAACCGCAGGAAAGTTCCCGAGCCAGCACCTAAACCCGAAGCCGTGTTGTCAAGGCACCGACGACAGCTGGGGTGACCCAGACATGGGTGCCAAGTGTACCATCCGTTACATATCAAGAACCGGCTGGGCTCTCGGAAGAATCAGAAGCGATGGGTATTGCCACGCAGCTTCAGTAGAAGGATTGCTGCAAGGCTTACCATCAGGTTTCTAAACGAGTTCGGATAAGGGGCATCTTGTCACCACAAGGCACTTCTGGGGCGCTGCTTCGGTTCAGGTCGCTCCTTGCGTGGTCCCTCCAAGCACTTCTCCAGCAACGTCCGCCGTGCGCATGGCTCCGTCGGCCCTGCGCTCGGTCCAGGATCAGTGCCAGCCACCCGACTCCTTGGATGAGACCGGAAGTTGCAGTTACCCTACACCCTAAACCCTACACCCCGAACCCTACCCCCTAAACCCTAACCCCCCCCCCCCCCCCAAAACAAAAAACAACCTTAAACCCCAAACCTTACACCCTAAACCCTAAACCCCGAACTGTACACCCTAAACCCCAAAGCCTACACCCTAAACCCTAAACCCCAGACCCCTACACCCTGAGCTTCCCGGTCTCCTGGCCGGAGACGATGAGGTGCCCACGGTGCAGCAGGGGGCCTTAGCTTGCTAGATCTTGCCTTTTGTTAGTGGGGAATGGCAGGGTTCCCTTTAAGGGGGTCTATAAGGGTTACTCTAAGGGATACCTTCGGTTAGTTGGAAATGGAGGAATGGGGTACATTTACACTACTATGACTACCATTCTTCCATTCCCTACGAACGTAGGGAATGGAGGAAGGGGGCACAAGTATAACTACTATTACTACCATTCTTCCATTCCCTACGAACCAAAGGTAAGAGATCTGCTCTGCAAAGATGCCCTTGCATCTCAGGGTTGCTGGGGTTGTGGGTCTCAGGGGTTCTAGGGGTCTTATAATATGGAGAATATAGTACAATGTAGCACAATATAATGCAATATAGTAGAAGGAAGTAAAATATATCTGAATATAGTAATAGTATACTCTAGTATAATTTTGAATATTGAATATATAGCATGGTAGAATATAGGGGTCTGAGGCCCTGGGGCATCCATGCCAAGTGAGAGGGAAGGGACCAGAGGCGACCCGGACCAAGCCAACGATGCTTGGGCCGTCACCGTCACCAGAGGTGAGAAACGGCCTGGTTCTGCACGGTAGCATAGATTCGCTGGGCCTGGAAATGCTATGTATCGCTTGGAATGTCAATGTACCGCTGCGACTTTGCAGAAAAGGTCTCGCTGCTACACCGTCCGACAAATAGCGGCATGACGTGACCGAAACTGTCCCCTGCAACACCCAAGCACCAGAGGATTTAGCGTGAGCCGCGAATGTTACAATCTCTTGGAAGGTGGATTTTCGCTAAACCCTAAACCCTAAACCCTAAACCCTAAGCCCTAAACCCTAAACCCTAAACCCTAAACCCTAAACCCTAAACCCTAAACCCTAAACCCTAAACCCTAAACCCTAGGACTTCTGCTCCAGTCAGGCTCGTACTGTCAGCTGCCGTAGCGTCTGGAGCTTCACACGCGTGCATCCGAAGCCGACGTAAATCTTGACATCCTAACCCCTCGATCTATGCCTTTAAACCCTAGGCTCCTAAACCACAAAGCTCAAACCCTAAATCCCAAATCGCAGCAGCCCGTGCGATCTGCACTCGCTCAGAATCCAATCATTGGGACGCAGGGGCTCAAGGCGACAGGAGAGTTTGACATCAACATGCGAGTAGAATGCCACGATGGGAATATACGGCTTTAGGCTTTTGGATTTCGGGGTATGAGGAGGAGCAGCAGGAAGAACGACCAACAGCAGTCCGACCCTGAACCCTAAACCATCCTAAACCCAGACTAAGGAAGTGGTATGACGAATGAAGCCTTGGACCCCAAAGCCTTCACTCAGAAGCCATGTCCAGGGTTGAACGGTTGAGGGTTTTTGGCTTGAGAGGTATCGAATTTGGGGACATCAGGGTCGAAGGAGTCCATCATTTAGGGCTAAATTGCATCGGGTAGAATTTCGGCCGCTGACCCCGCAGCCGCGCAGTGTCGTGCGATTGCCACCGTGTCCCAAGTGATTTTTCTTGCCGGCTGCTCAGGCATGTCAATATGGAGACCTTAACCCGAGGCCCTCAACACTCAATCCTAAACCCCAAGTACCTCAGAGTCTGCAATACATACTTCCCGTTGGGTTAGGCTAGGGGCGAATTCCGACCAGTTATGTCAAGACCAATAATAATAGCAATAGCAACTGTAATGATGATAACAATAACAATCTTGATGCTAATTTCAATGGTAGTAACAACATTGGTAGTAATAATGATAATCATAACAATGATAATGATGATGATACTCATAATCAGGACCCAGGACTCCCCCCCTCCACACAAACCTTTACATAGACCCTGTCAGGGTCATAGCGCCCTAAAATCGAACCCTGAAAAGGCCCTCAGCCACACAAGAGCCCTTACGGGTGTTACGTGCGTGGGCATCTTAGGGATATGTATGTACATCTACATATATCATATATACATATTTTTGTTTATATATATATAACTCTTGACACATACACATGTATACATACATACATACATACATACATACATACATACATACATACAAACATACATACATACATACATACATACATACATACATACATACATATACATATATGTATATATATATATATATATACACATACATACATATATATATATATACATATGTATATATATATATATATATGAGTAGTAACAGTTTTGGTAATAGCAAAAGTGCTAACAATTATCAGAAGAAGAAACGCATAATACTGATGATCCCATTAACTATCAGAACAACAATAATGGAAGATAAGAAGGTGGTACGAATAGTAATACAGAATATTGATGCAAATGCTTCTTTCACTTATTAAGGCCCCTAAAATACGGCATTTCACAGCCTTGACCGCCCGACAATTTCAGAGGAGTGGTCGTGGTTAAGAGGGTCGCGTGAGGAAGATTTTGGTGTTTTTTTGGGAGTTCGGGTGCGATCATAGAAACAGTTCTCACAGTATCGTGTTCTGGATGCTCTCGTCTTGTTCGCCACCCTCTACAACTGGTGGCAGGTGCCACAGAAACAGGGTCATCGATCGTCCTGGCGATGGTCGTGTCAGTTCTTACCGTGAGAAGGATCGGTCGTGTCGGCATCCGGTTCTAGCATTTTCGGGGTTCAGGCTGCCAGGCATCGCAGTGTTGTCATTTATGCTTACGAGATGTTTGGACCCGACGAGGGGCTTCTGTTGTTCAGTATCATGAGTCTCCGAGATGTTTCACCTCACTCCACAGACTTGTGTTGCAGTTAGGCTCACGATGTGATGTGTTTAGGGTCCAGGGTTTGGTCTTGCCCTTACTGCTTTCCTTCCCAGGCCTAAAAATATCCGGGAGTTTTCCACCTCCCTGGGTTCGGGGTTTCGAGTTGTAGGCTTTTCATTTTTCGGGCTAGGCATGGGCTTATCGGTTCTGACAACCCCACGCTCTGAACTCTAACCCCAAAGCCTTCAACCCGAACTAAAGCCCAAATGTCCTCGACCTTGAGCTGCTCATGCCCCCGAAGCCCTTCCAGCACGAAGGTTTGAGTTCCCAAGCAGCCGACTGTGCTCTGCAGGCAGCTGTTGCTTTTAGGACTTTCGGCTTTGGGATTTTTGGGCTCAATGCTGGAAAATTACGGGTCTAGGCCCGCAGGGTTTTGGTTTCAGGGTTTAGCATGGCAGGTGGTGCGGCTCGAAATTAGGGGTGTCGGGTTCGAACTGTGTTTGCATCCCTTGCTCACCCGCATACAGAACCGATAAAAGCCTAAGAACCCCATATACAAACTCACATAAAAGCTTTGTGTTGCGATTTGCGATATCACAAACTTGTACGAGCCTGTAAAAGCTTTAGAACCCTAAACCCGAAGACAGCGGTGAAGCTGCAAAGAAGGATCCAAGTCCCTAGCACCCCGAAGTCCGAGCCTAAGCACTGCAGCCACAACGGACAAGTCGAAGGTTTGGGTAGGTTTGGGGTCCCGGGTTTAGGCTTTTTGGGGTTTGGGTTTTAAAACCTCGAGAGCCCGGACGCTGAATCCGGCCACCAGCATGACACGCTGGGGCTGAAATCTGATGCACCCCGAGCCCCAGGCAGTCAACTTGGCAACCCTCATGGAACCAGCGATAGGTCGCTCTTGGTACGGATGGCATCCATGCCACTGGCAGCGATGATGCTGCTGCTGATGATTATAATGATCATGATGATGATGATGACGATGACGACGATGTTTGTCCTGGGTTCTGCTTGTCGAGATACTGGCGGCCCCAGATCAGGTGCTCTGCCGGCTCTGGCCATGCCCGAGCGCCACTGTCGCCTGTCTCACAAGCCTGAAGAGGTTTAGATGATTTAAGGGTAGACTAGGGGAGGTTCTGGCTTGCCGGACGGTTACGACGATGGCTGTTGCAGCCGCTGCTGTAAGTGCATGCTATGACCATTCTCGTGTGGATGAGTGGAACAGTCGGCATCATTACCACTAGCATTACCTTCATCAGTTATCGTCGTCATCGTTGTTGTTGCTGCTCTTCCTGTTCGTATTGAGTGTTCTTCCTGTGTCATCACTAGCAGGGTGTTGAAGAGATTACAATCTCTAACGCTACTTGCTGTTGATGTCGGCGAGGATTCGGATGAGAGGGGGTGTGCTCTTCCGAGCTCTGATGTCTTGTTGTCACGTGTGAAGATCACTTCCTGAGGTGTACGGATCAGAGATCAAGGGTAATGCTCGCGCCGACATCGTCGTCACATGGTTCCGTTCCCGTGCTAACTGTGTTTTGACTCTTACTGCTCGTGCAGCATAATCCATCACCATCTCTTCGAACATTCCTACAAGATCAATGTAGTCATCATCTTCTTCGAACACTTCTTCAATCACTGGCATAGGCGTTGTCACCAACCTACGCACTTGCTCGTTTCCTTTGGCTCCTTGTGGTGGCCTTGCTTGTGCCTGTGTAGAAGAACTAGGTTGCTCTTCATACCATTCTTCCTCACCTGTCTCTTGGACATTCCGAACTTTTCCTTTTCCTCCTTTTCCTTTTCCCTTTGGTGCCGACCAACACTCCGAAGAGTAGTGTCCGGTCTTACCACAATTGAAACATACAGGTCCATTCTGTCCACCTTTGCCTTTTCCTTTGTCACTCTCGCAGCCTTTTCCTTCGGCCTGCCTTATACTCTTTCCACCTTTCTTTCCAAATCCTTTTCCTTTTCCAAAACCTCTTCCTTTTCCTTTTGATCTTCCTCTACCACCTTTTCCTCTTCCGTATCCATATCCTTTGCCCTTTCCTTTGTCTCCTTTTCCTTTTCCGTAGGGGCTTCCTTTTCCTCCTTTATCACCTTTACCTTTTCCATCTCCTTTGCCTTTTCTCATGTGCAATCTATCAAGTTCCATTGGAATTGGTCCTTGGTAAGCCTTGTTGCTTGAGTGCGACGTTGGGTCTGGAACACTCAATGATCCTAAAATGTTTTCAGCTGACCATGTCTGATTGCTTCTTTCGTATTGTAGCAGCTTTGCTCTTAACTCTTCATATGTGGTCTTCTCAGTGATATCAACCATCACGTGCTGCTTGAGGTGCTGTGGAATTCCTTTCAGCAGTGTACCGATCTTCAAGTTGTCATCATACTTCTGCCCTGAGAGTTTTTCGTACTCTGCTGTGAGCTTTTCATACGTCAGAACGTCGTCGCGCCCTCCTCCTCCTCCTCCTCCTCCTCGTCATCATCGTCATCATCGTCACCAGCCCTAACTCCTAGACTTCACTTATCTTTCTGAGCCGATATCTCAGGCAAGATTTGGCCACCCTGGCTTGCCGGCCATCTCCTCAGCAGCAGGCCATTGGATGAACACTTGGGCTTGCGGTGGTGCTAAGTAGTATCCCCTGGTCGTCTTCAATAAGTTCGCAGATATGCGCCCGACCACCCTATTCTAGTTCTTACGGCCCCTGTGTAGGGGCCCTGTAATTGGGGTGGGGTGTCGGGATAACAGGGTTTCCGGTTTTGTTTCCAATGCCGAAATTGGGA